TACAGGGACTTAGAGATGAGGAAGAACCACTACCAAGGATTACATCACACTCAACCCTGAGGCCTTTTCCCGGTCAGCCAGGACAGTGAGGGCCCTTTCCAAGTTCTGAGATTATTGTTGAGCAAGTTCAAGGAAGGAGTGCATGCCTTCCTTCTGCTAAACTAGGGACAGAGTATAGGCATATTGTATGCCTGCTGTGGGCTTGGTACTCTACTCTGAAGGCAACTCCATCCAGTTAATTATTCTTAATGTGTGATGTTACAGGAGTTAATGGAACCAAGAGAGAACATACAAAGCATGGAACTGAAGAATCTAGGTTCATTTTGATGGCAGTGCCTTTGTAGTGACTCCTATTTTTAGACAAGGCAGCTGAAGCTCTGAGATGCTTAGGGATTGTCCCTAGAACTAGCAGACCAGAATGTCCAGTGTTGCCTTTCCAAGTTTGAACTCTTACTTGCTAGCATGCCACATTGCCTTATTAACTAGTGCATGCTCCTTTTTATTTGGAGGTTGGTGAGTGTGTATGTTGTTGGGTGATTCTTGAGTTCCAAAGGGATGAGCTTCTTTGTGACCTTTTATCCTGGTTCTTTGAGGATCCCTGGAACTCATTATATGTAATAATTTTCTATGACAGAGGAGAGGAAAGTGATAGGGGAAAATATTCCAAAACTTTTAAGTCATGGGGCCAGAATTTCTTGAGATCAGAATCAAAATATTTTTTATTCAGTTTAGAAATGGTTTGTTCTCCAATTATATTGATGCCCCCAATTTATGCCTTGACTGATAGTCTTATATACTTTAAAGTCTGGAGTTGTTAGTCTCACTGATTGGATATTTATGGGATGTGGGTAGGGATTTTCCAGGTAGAGCTTCTAGGTGCTGCCTGAAGTTAGTGTAGAGCTCACAGTAGATTAAGGTTCTCCCTGGTGACAGTTCTTACAAAGTAGCCTTCAGTTGTCTTTTCATAAGGAAAGGGGTTTGTTAAAGTTGAGGATGTAAGAGGTGGTGTTGGGTAGAGAGAAAAATCATAGCAATCTTGGGTTGAAGGGGATTAAACTAGTAGAGGAGAGGTGGTCCTAGAGTTCATTGGAAGGCAGGCTGGAAGCTGAGGAGGTAGACTGTAGTTGTGCTAGTAGATGACTGGAAGGAGGTAGAAGCATGATAGAAGTGGAGGAGATAATGGAAAAGGAAAGGGTGATCTGGTAATAAACTTGGGGGGTCACATAGGGGAGGTGATGGTGAAGGTGGTGGCCATAGAGAAGATGGAGGAAGAAGTGGACTGAAATGGTGATAGAGGTTTCATAGGAGAGGCAGTGGTGGAGAAGCAAGAGGTAGGAGAAGCGGTCCAACAGTGGTTGTAGTGGAAGCATCAGCTGAGATCTACTTTGAGGAGCTTTTATGGGCAAGATCACACAACAGCCCTTAAGGTTGTGGAGTCTTCCCCAAGGTCACGTAGCTGCTCATCTGCAGAAATTCTAGAGCCAGTGTCCTTCGCCTTAAGGCCAAGCTGCCTCCTTGATATGGGAATGCCGGATCTAAAACCGGGAATAAAACTGACTTGGCAAAGGCATTTTATTTTGGGAAAACCATTTGTCAAGATTGACAGGCCCCGGACACGAGATTTCTTTGGAGGGTGATGGAAATATTCTATAATTAGAACATGGTGAGGGTTGTACGCTCTGTCTTGATACCAGCACTCACTGGATTTACACATCCAACAGAGGAAGTGTATGCTATGCAACATCTCAGTGTAGGTGTTTTAAAATATGAAACATTGACAAACTACCATGAATAACTCAGTCTGTGTGTGTGTGTGTATGTATAACATAGCAGAAGGGGTGTTAAAGTTAAGCAATTCAAAGTTGCTTTTGCTGATGTCAAAAATAGCTTGCTTTGGAGGTAGTTATGTTCTAGAAATGCCGAATGTGGAATACTAGGGCTTTTCTGTGCCTTTTAAGAAGTTATAGTATTTAGGTTAGTAGTAAGATTTAAGTGAAAATTTGAGCGCGCATGCGTGCGTGCGTGTACATGCCCACCTTTCTATCACACACATATACATATGCACATATGAGACAAGTTTTTTGAAGTCTGGCCAGAAACGGCCCAAACATTTTCATGTTAGACTCAGCAGCTTATATAAATAGAATCATAAGCAAAAAGTGTAATTGACACCACTACAGATGAAAAGTCTTGCTCCTTGATAGAGACAGCTGGCATGCTGAGCTCTTCTTCTCTCCTTTGGGCTCCTGGAAACTGTTCTGGCCTGGGCTTTATGCTTGATTGACTCAAGTCTTTGCTCTCCCTTTGCCTTTACATAGTCATAACGGATACATGGCTTATGAATCCTAGAGTCAATCAAGACAACTGAGCCCCACCCAGCCCTTGTCCCTCCCTGGCTTACCTTGCTCCATTGGCCGCCATTTCTTGAAGCGAAAGGTCCAGGGATCTGATAGTGTAGACCAGGTAGCCTTGCTGTCTTAATGCAGAGACAAAAAGTAGCTGACCATCTTCACTGTCCCTTTTCACCAATTTCAGGGTTTGGGTGAGTCCCATTCTACCATTTAGTGCAGTGGCCCAAGTTGGGCCACCCAAGAGAGGGTGGGCTTTTCCTGTCCCATTTTCACAAAGGCATGTTTCTACTCCGATCTGCTTGGCAGGTCAGGCTTGGACTTCAGCAAGTACTTCCAAAAACCACACGGATCTGAGAAGGTCCAGCATTAATTAAGAAAGAGCCCTGTATGGCTTCAGGTAAAGAACTTTTGGAACACATTCCCAACCCTCCCATCCCACCTTTTTCTGGAGGCAGACAGCATAGTAATTAAGAACCATCGTCTAAAAAGTATTTGCTGTTAGCCTGTCCTTCAAAGAAAAAACCCAGCTTTCCTCTCAAGCCCTGGGCCTCCTGCTTATGAGGGAGGCTGTGACCACAAGGCCACCCTCTCTCTCTCCCCTGCCCAGTTCTATCTTCGTGGAGGCCAGGAGGCTAGGAAGCAGACACACAGATAAACAGAAACTAACCTGAAGAGGAAACCTTTAGTCTGGCCTTGCCCTTCATTCCCTTGCTCCTGGCAACATGACATTGTTTGCCTCGGAATGGCGGGCAGACGTTTGCTCTTGACCTTCTGGGTGTCAATGCCCCAGTCAGTAGGTGACTTTACTCTGCTGTCTTAATTTTTAGTACACAGGTTAACTGTTTCTAATTGAAAGTCCTGAAATCTGAACTACTCTAACATTAAAAACTTTAGGCCAAAAAAAATAATAATAATAAAAATAAAAAATAAAAATGCCGGGTGGTGCACGCCTTTAATCCCAGCACTCGGGAGGCAGAACTAGGCAGATCTCTGTGAGCTTGAGGCCAGCCTGGTCTACAGAGTGAGACCCAAGACAGGCAGCAAAAACTACAGAGAAACCCTGTCTTTAAAAAAAAAAAAAAAAGACTTCAATTGGAAAATCTGCTTCCTGACCCTGCATACAATTAATAAAAGAACTGCATAAGGTTACTGTGAGGAAAAGGTGTGTATGGAACATAGCTAAATTCATGTTTAGACCTAAATTTCATCCCTAGGATCTAGCTATCGATATACCCATGCGCATATTCTCCAAAAAGGAAAAGTGAAAAACTGTTGGTCCCAGGCATTTCAGCTAAGGGCCACTCATCTTCATTCAAGTCTACGTGACTTCTCACGGAAACAGAATTCTTACCTGAACTTCTAACCTGTTTGATTTTAAAAGGTGACTTTCTTTTTTTTTTCAAAATCTGGGGATTTTACAAACACGTGAACTTCTAGTTCTACTTTAGACTTGGTTCTTTTTGTAAGCTACTTGTCTTTTAAGAAGGCATGTCTGTATAGCCCAGTTTACTTGTGATTTCTGAGACTTCTCAGGGAATATAGTTTGTTGAGTGCATGAATCTGCTTAGTTTGAGGCTTGGGGAAAACCATCTTCTCAAACAACTCCAAAAGTCCAGTTGACATTATGATTGTGTAAAAGCAATATGTATTCAGCACAGGCATTTTGAATTTTAAACTTGGATCTTTTCCTGGACTAATGTTGTATAGTATGATGCTGTCTTGCTATGCAGGGTAGTGACTGTGAGTCACAGTTCCTGCTAAGTTGAGCCTCGAGGTCATAAGAGAACCAAGAAATACTCCATAGTGCGCCGTGTCCATAGTGCACCGTGTCCCGAGTACAAAGTGGAGCCGTTCGAATGTGTTCAATGCACTTTTTACCTCGGATATTGCGCGTTTATGATGAATTTATTGGGGTCTGATCCCACTGTAAAAGGGAATCTGCGCTCTGCTTGTGACTAGATATTAATGAGTAGACTTAAATGAACACACTGTACTTCTGGCACAGTTCAAAACCTTTCTAATTACAGAAGTGCTGTATGTGTTTTCAAAAATGTTCACAGATTTTACAGATTTATAAGAAGTTGTTAACATCTTACTACCAAGAATTAATCACTGCTCTTTTTTGTAAGCATATGGATATAAAGGTGGCATATTTCTACCCATATTTTAATGTTTCTTTCATTGGTTTGAGGTGCTTCTATGAAGGTTCTTTTTTTCTAGAATTTTGGATCTCCATCGACGTGCCACTGAGCTCCTCGTCCTTTGTTTGCGAAGAGCTCTTTATGGCCCCTCTCTGGGATTTTCCGACCCAGGAAGTCCAAGACTGCTTACCTCGCAATTCTCGAAAGTGCCATGTGTTCCATAGAGTGTTGATTATTGACATTCATTGCCCGAGATGAGCAGTCAGCAGTTGTCCTTTTTAAATTACTATTCGGGGGGAAATCAAAAACAGGAGGAGCACCTTCTAACTCCCTTGACAACGGATTACCATTTGCCATGATTGGTTTCCCTTCCACAGCACAGTTTCAACTGTCATTTAAAACTATAAAAAAGGGAATAAATAAATAGAATGGAAAGAAGGAACTGAGCGAGAGAGGAAGTGGTGGTGGGTTGCGGTGCCTCCTTTCACTCTGTTGTCTTCTTTTCTAGGACAAAGTGGGGCAGTCATCTTCTAAACCACAAAACCCGGCCAGGACTGGCTATACTTCTCAATCAAGAAGGCAGCCAGGTAAGAACCGACTATAACTGTATAACTACATGAGAACTTCATAGTGGTCCTTGGTATCCATGAGGTTCTACGATCCCCCGAGGATAATGTGAAGGTGACTGAGTCATTAGTATAAAATGTCCTAAACCTGGAACCTGTGGTCATCCCCCCATGCACTGTGATATGGTATGACACAGGGGAAACATATGCATCTGTTTAATACAGTATTTCCCAGTAATTTTGATCTGTGCTTGGTTCAACCTATAAATGTGAACCCTGGGGGTATGGAAATCCAACTACATATTCTAGAATGTTCTTGCCATCAATAAAATAAGATTCTAGCATCTTCATTTTCTCTTAAGGCCAGTAAGATCTAACACATACATCATTATATATTTCCTTTCAATGGGCAAACTTTAGTGAGTCAAAAGTTAAATTCAATTTTGTGTGAATTATCTGGGATTCACCTCTTACCTTGCTAGGGCTTTGAATTCTACATGAAGGCAACTGGCCATTGCCTGTTGAGGTACCTCCACAAGGGGTGGATCTTCTCTTTGACCTTTTAAGGGTCCTTCCACCCTGGGAACTGCTGAATTTTGTGTTGAGTAACTCCACGGCAGAATCCTATATTTGGGCATGTTTGTTTTTTCAGGTATGCTAGTTTTGCATGTATGTCCTCTTGGCATCTCTCTTCCCTTTTCTTTTCTCTTCTTGTCCCTTTTCTTATTCTTTCTATATTGTTAAATTTTTGAGAGTGTCACTGTGGGGAAGAGGGAAAGGTCTCTAAATGTATATGAAAGTAATATGGTAAGTCAGATCTAAGAAATGGAAACCCTGATCAAGACTGAAGACTCTGATCCTGACATGGAACCAGGATGTACATAGCACCTTGTTGGGCTACTGGTAAGTTAAGTGTAAGTCCAAGAAATCATATGTTTTTGAGCTGGTAATTAGAGTAATCAGATTTTTTTTTAAATTGTCTAATGAAAATGAGGATGACATTTAACAAAAAATAAACACTGAAGTGTACCATGTAATCAAATAAGTGTTTTCTCAAGCATTAGGCAGCTCATAAACGAGCCAGGATTGTCTGTAACAAACAAACTCAGGTTCACACTTTAGAAAATTTTCTAGTGAGATAATATAAGTGAAAGTGTGCTTATTTGTTAGGACTAGTTTGAAGTATAGGACAATTATAACTCAATACACCATACCACTGACAAATGATCTCACTGAAGTTGAGATATTTGAAGTCTTTGTGTTAATGTTCACATAGAAGTCTATGCTTAGCCTTTTTATCATAAAATTAGTAATCAAACTGAAAAAAATT